TTTCCGACTCACTCTCTCTTTCTCTCTCTATCAATTTTGAGATCAATGTGAGTGACCCTTTTTTTACAAATATTGTTATTATTACATTATGTATGACATTTGAGTGTTTTATTATTTAATATATTATGAATTCCTAAATTATATGTCATTATGAATCAATTTCAATAAATTATTGTTTTTGTTCTTCTATTAGTTTTTAGGGACTAAAAATATTATTAAAATATATTATGAATGTATATATACTTTAAGGCATGAAAACTATGTACATTATGGAAAACTATAATATTTCAAAAGATATTATTACCTAGCTAGATATACTCGTATATCAAAATTTATAATGACTACTTAATTTATAAATATAAAATAAATACAATATGTTTATGCACGAATACTGAAACGTACATATGTACGTACATATATGAAATGAATATTGTATGTATATGCGCATAATTTATAAAATTGGAATTTCATTAAAAAAAAAAATTAAAATTGGAATAAATTTTGTAAATTGATACTTTGTTATATTTGTAGTAGGTATATAATATAATTTTCTGTGAATAACATAGGGAAAGAGAGAGGATGAGAGCTGTAATAGAAAGTTGTTGCATATTGGAGACTTATAATGGAGAGTTGTAGTGGAGAGAAGAAAACAGTTTTTTTGGAAATTAAATCCTGGAAGTTTTAGTATATGAAGTATGTGGGAGATTTGCACGATTTCAAATCATACAAGTATAAAATTCAGTGTATCTTTTGGTATAAGTTAATATGCTAAAAAATTTTGTAAAAAGACGGTGTAGATTGTAGATTTTTCAAGGGATTTGAATGGGGCAAGAGTATGCCCCGGGCCACTCTTTCGTGTCCCGCCAGTGAAGACCGCATTCAGCCGCAAGCATGCAGGCTCGCACGGCGGAGGAAGGCAGACCACAGAAAGGCAGCGGCTGCACAAAGTCAGCCCCAGATCCCCTCCGTGCCATGTAATTCAGTACTATAATAAAGCCAAACTATCGAAATTGATTTAGAACAAAATTGAATTATTAAAATATTTGAATTCTTTGTAATTGAATATTAAATATATATGTATGTAATTTAGCAAAAGATTTCATTTAAAGAATATTTGCTCTAGGAAAAGTATCTGCTTTCTTAATTATATTTAAATTCTAAGAAAATCTTAAGTTGACACATAAATTATTATGTTTCATTAAGCATTATACCATATTTTTTTTGTTTGCTAAAAATTGAAATAAAAGAAAAGAAATCAATATTCTAAATTATTTCTAATTGGGTGCTTAAGGTTAATTTAGAGAAATTTTTGTAAAGAATTGAATTTCATTATTCATTTATCATTAATTTTGTATAAGTGACATGATTATTTCAATTGAAATTGACATTTGCTGCAAAAAAAAAGAGAAACATCAAGGTTATAATGAAAAACTCAAAATTATTTTAAGTAATTTTCCTATAAATTACTTAAGGATATGGCAATGAATTTCCTTTATAAATAAATTTATATGTAAGAAGTAAATTAATTTTTAACATTTTATATTTAGAATATAATATTTCTTTTTTTTTCAATAGTAACCCCCGGGGTAATAGAATTTAAATATATAAGTAGAAATTTTTTATTATCCTAAAATTTTTTATACATGCGATCGTTCCTATATAATGTTTTATAATTACTGCCGTAATCTTATATTTTCATACAACGTATATTTAAATGTTAAGGTCAAAAATTTCAATTCAGATTTCAACGACAAATCTAACCTGCGTAATGCGGAAAATAACAGCAAATAATGATAGAGCTTCCAGAATATAACCCATGCATTAAGACCTGAAGCGCGCCGGATACAAGCGTCCCGGGTGAACCAAAAGGGCCCAAGTCCATTGGGAAGCCCGGTACTGCTTCGGTATTTGCTGTTGGAGGGGCTAGTGTGGCACCTAGGACGGCAAAAGAGGCTATGGCAGGGCAGGCGCCCACCAAGATGCGTAAAAAGGCTGCAATGGGTAGCAAGGCTCATGTAAAGCCTTTGTCTAAAGGGCCAAAGCCCATAGACGAGAGCCAGAGGAAATGATATGGCTGTGAGGTGCGTCCAAATAAATCTACAGCATGTTAGGGCATCTACTGATGTTCTTGCTCATAGATTTATGAAGGATCACCTCGATATCGTCCTTATCCAAGAGCCTTACATAGTGAAGGATCATGTTAAGGGCCTAACAGGTGAGCTATTGTATGATAATACAATTGGGGACAGGCCTAGGGCTTGCATTCTGTTTAGTAAAAGGCTAACATATTTTCCCATTCCAGATTACTGTTCTAAGGATCAGGTAGCTGCGTTGGTGAACGTGAAGTCTTCTGGGGGTTGGACAGAGTTCATTGTGCGGTCATTCTATCTCCCGGGAGACTGTGCCCACCCGGACGAGCAACTAAAAGATATAGTGGACTTTTGTGGAAGGGGGAACTTCCAACTTATAATAGGAAGTGATGCCAATGTCCACCACACCGTCTGGGGGAGCAGTAATATAAACAAAAGAGGTGAGTGCCTACTTGAATTTATATATAGCAATAAATTAATGGTTATGAATGAGGGCAATAGGCCGACATCCATAAATGGAATTAGGGAAGAGGTCCTTGACATCACCCTTTGCACTGAGCTAAGCCAAGGCGGAGCAATAGGAAGTGCCCGTGGTTGAATGAAGAGCTTTCAAGGCTTAGACTAAAGACCAGAAAGCTATTCAATAAGGCCAAGGCGTCGGGTTCGTGGGAAGAGTATAAAGACTCACTCACGAAATACAATAAAGAAATTAGGAAAGCGAAGAGAATTTCGTGGAGGGCGTTTTGCAAGAGCATTGATGAACTCTGCTTTCCAAAAAGTATGCTAGCGGGTTGGGCCTAATGGAACGGCCTGGTGGCTCCATGACTGAGAACGGAAAGCAAACGTTGGAGCTCATGGCGTCAACGCACTTTCCCGACTCGGAGATTCTTCGGAATCACTCAAATGCGGTAATGGAACCGAGGGCATCCTGGCAAAGTAGGGATGACTGGCAACGATTCCGTCTTGTCTTCACGATGGGCAGGATTAAATGGGCTGTTTTCTCTTTCAGGCCCTTCAAATCTCCAGGTGATGACGGGATATATCCTGCATTTTTGCAGAGGGGTTTTCAACATATCGCCCAAGCACTGTTGGAAATTTTTCGTGCCAGCTATGCTTGGGGTTACATCCCTCAGGCATGGAGGGTGGCTAAAGTGGCGTATATTCCGAAGGCGGGTAAGCGACCACGCAACCACCCAAGGTCTTTTCGTCCAATCAGCCTTACTTCTTTTCTATTGAAAGCAATGGAATAAGTGATTGGTAGATTTATACGGGACGATGCACTGGGAAGCAATCCCTTGCATGAATCTCAGTACGCCTATCAGTCGGGAAGGTCTACTGCACTCGCTCTGCAGAGTCTGGTGGATGTCCTTGAAAACTCACTGGAAGTGCGGGAGGTAGCAGATGGCTGCTTCCTTGATATAGAGGGAGCTTTTGACAACACCCCATATCATGTCATCTGTGAGTCGTTGCACAAGGGATTGATGCGACGACTAGCAGATGGGTTAATCGGATGCTACAGGATAGGATTATTAAGTCCACCATAGCTGACGATATACTCTTCATCTCCGCTGCAAAAGGGTGTCCGCAGGGCGGGGTTCTTTCGCCCCTCCTGTGGTCCATTGTAGTGGATGATCTCTCCTGGAATACCCATATAGATAGAGTTATCGAGAGTATGGTGCCGTAAGGCTCAGCAGACTGGTGTGCGGGCCGATCTGGAAAAGCTACAGAGGCTGGCCTGCCTGAGAGTGACCGGGACAATGCGGACGGCTCCTCTGCATTGGAGGTGGTGATCGGGTTGCCGCCACTGCACCTCCATATATTGAAGGCTGCCTTGCTGCACTTAAGGAATTGGGATAGGAGAACAGAGCCACGCTCATTTGGGTGCCGGGTCATAGTGGCCATCCGGGCAACGAAATTGCCGATGGGCTGGCGTGGAGGGGATCTGGGACTGACTTTGTGCAGCCGCTGCCTTTCTGCGGTCTGCCTTCTTCCGCCGGGGGGGCCAGGCTTACCTGCCTGCTTGCGGCGGAATGCGGCCGTCACTGGTGGGACACGAAAGGATACCGTCATGCGAAGGTGTTTCTTTCGGCGTGCTCCAGCGGATTTACCGCAGAGTTGCTGGGGATGAACAGGATCCGGGTTCGCACTATTGCGAATTTCTTCACGGGGCACCTCCCAGTGAAGTACCACCTGCATAGGTTGGGGAAGTCAGGCTCCCCCCTGTTCAGATTTTGTGGGAGTGGCGATGAGACCGCCATGCACATTCTCTGCGACTATCAGGCACTGGTTGTTCGGCGCTGCAATTGTTTTTGGCACGGGTCCTTAAGTGTTCGGGAACTGTTGTCCACCTCCCTTAGGGATATCTCCGGCTTTGTGGTTGGGACGAGGATATTATAGGCGGGAGCGTGTGGAGGCTACAATAAGTCAAGAATGGCTGTGGTGGCTTGAGGGGTTACTCCTGTCCCACTAGGTTCATTTAAAATCTACAATCTACAAGACCTGAAGCTGTTGAAATGAAGATAGCAGGCAAGAAAGAGAAATTTGTTCACATTTCCAAGCATACAGCTGGCGATGGCTTATTAGCTAATGTACTTAGTCTGTGCTACTTTAGTTTGAACAAAAATTTGAAGATGCCGCCTACGACCAATTCATTCCATGCAGGTATTTGACGACCATTTATTATTATTAAATATAGGCATACTAAATTTGGATTTCATTATATGTAACAAATTATGTGGAACTTCAGTTAAATTTTGGATTAATTGGGGAATAAAATGCAACTAAATATTCAATTCTCCGCATTTGTAAAATTTTTTAAAAAATTTCACTGAAAAACGCTTAAGGTTCAATAAACTAAATTTTTTTTTTGAAGATCTAATAATAAAAATAAAATTTTTATTTTCAACTTACCCATTAATTTTTTAACTTCCTTATGACTCATAAATATATTTATATATCCGTGTGTTAAATAAAAAAACCATAAACAATAAAATCCTGAATGCAGTATTCTTGTCATATTTTTATAATTTCAATTCTCTTATATAATATCATTTGTTTCCTTCTCTTATATATACACAATATCCTTTATTATTTTTACTCCTTTTTTAATTTCATCTCAATTTTATTCCAATTTATTATTAATAATATCATTGATATTTCTTCCAAATTTTCATTTTTATATACGTATAATAAGTAATTGGTAAAATTTTAATAAAAGTTTATTTTAAAATTTTCGCATTTAATTTTATTCATTTTTCGAATTTTTCGAATCGAATTATATTTTTTAACATTTTCATAGTATACCTACGTATGTATTAATTTAAAAATGGCAGTGTTATACAGTTAGTTGTAGGTATGTGTTTGTGTGTAGTCCTGCAATAAAAATAAATATTAAAATAATTTTTTTTATGTTAATTATAATTTTATTATATAAAAAAAAGCAAGATAGTAAACACCTATACATATAAAATTAGTATATAGCATCAGTGCTGCCAAATTGTGGGAAATTTCCCTACATATGGGAAATTTCCCACGACATGGCAATACTGAAGAGAAAAAGGTTGAAAACTGTGGGAAATCCCATTGAAAACTTTTCATTAACATTTTTTTTTTTATTTTAATTTCCTTTTTTATAATGCATTTCAAACTTGAGCAATAATAAAAATTCCTATTATTTGAAACTCTTAAACTGATATATAGTATTACTCGTATTACAATTTGAAAGTACTTAGTTCAATTATTAAGTTATGCGATGGAAAATATGATTAAATACGAATTTTATTTAAGTACAACGCTAGATGTTTGGGGATAAACAAAAAAATTCTTAATGGGAAATTGTATGGGAAAAAGTAGGGTTTGCGAAGGGAAAATATGGGTATTTTTGAAAGGGCAACACTGGCAACACTATTTTTGCAACATTGTATTTAATTATTAAATTATGTAAAACACAATATGATATGAAGTATATGTACAAATATATTTAATGAGTGTATGTTAAGTAGAGAAAAAACATGTTTTAATATGACTCTTGAGAATATATGAGTTGAAATAAACAGAAGAGTTAAAGAGACTGTAATGTAAAGAACAATATAATTATGTAAATTTATGAATGTGGCAAATGAGTAAATTTATTATTACGAGATCGATATTGTTATAGATTATTTTTAGGCGTTATATTAAAATATTAACAAATAAAATTCTACCACCATTCCATAGTGAAAATGTTGAGTAATATTATCAAGAGTCTCAAAAAAATAATAGAACCCATTCGTTTTAGTAAAATTCCAGATTGTTATCAAATCTCAAATTGTCAGACAAACTAGTTATACAGAAAATATAGTTAAACAATAAGAATAAGTTATAATTATAACAGTCATCATCAAAATATTTGAAAATTAGTCAGAATGAAATCATATTTTTTAAAATCAGTAAAAATCTATCTCTTCTTAAAGTTTATTTAATATAAAACATTCTATTAAAATTGAGATTAAACGCAATTAAATACTATTCTCATGCATATAAAATGAGAATATTGTCAAATTACTATTATCATTCAAACACTATACTTATACTGTTCTATACTGTTCTATAGTTTCAATACCGTAGTAGTACATACTGCGTATAAATATTTGCTCTTGCTCTAGTATGTCACTTCCATTAGTGAGAATTATTGTGCATATAATCGAAAAAACAAGAACAATATTAGGAAAAAATAATAAAAAAAATAAAAAAATCAAATTAAGACAATCAAAATTTTAATTTATGTCAAAAAAATTAATAAAATATTCTCATATACATATGTATATGTACATATATATATGTATGTATATAAAATTTAATATTTCGATTTCATTCATTTAAACATCATAGAGGATGGTTTTTAAGAATATAAAAAAATTCGCAATAGTAATAATATTAATTGTTATACTGTATAAATGCTATAAACAGGGTGATTTAATGCTAATAAAACAGAGAATAATAATAAATCAAAAAATAATGAAATTTAAGAATTATTCGAATCTCAAAATATTATTGATAAATTCATAAATATTTTATGATTCCTTACAATCATAAAATTTTTATAGGAATGTATTTAATATTTTTATTATAACTGTGATGTTATTAAACTATATTATGTTAATTTTTGAGTGATAAAAATTGATTCGAACACGAACATTTCAATATATGTATTGTAAAAAAAAAAAAAATTGTAGAAATGAAAACTATTATACTAAATTTAATATAACCAATAAAATTTGAGAACTATTCGTGCTATTGTTTTCTGACACTGGCACATTCTTTTGAACTTTTTTTACCCTATAATTGTGTTATAACAATAGAATATAGTTTGACTATAGATTGGAAACAGTAAATATTTATTGTTCAAAAATATTTTAAATAGTACCAACCCTCGTGCATATTTTTACATTGATTTAGAATTTTTTATATGAAATTCATTTACAAACTAATAGTATAGTTGTGGTATAATTTGTATATAAAAATTATAACAAGGAAAATGAAATAAAATTTTTGATTTTTTGTGGTGTTGTGAGTCGATTAATTGTGGAAAGGGGTGAACATAAAGCGCCTTTAATATAGAAGTTGATTTTTAAATATTGGCTTCAATTAAATTTTTGTGTTAATTGTTATTGATATACAAGGTGTTCGAGACTCAACAGTACTCCCGAAACAGGAATGTTCTAAAGCAGTGATAGAATTTCTCCGAACGAACAAAAAACCTTAACGACATTTTGCTTTTTGAGCCATCAAAATTGAAATTTCTGAAAACTGTCAAATTTTTATTTATGAATCAGCTAAAATGACAGGCAAAAACAAACTTTGTTTACTCATTTTGAAAATTATGGAATTCTAAACTTGTATTAGAATTTAATGAATATTGTACGCTCTTTCTTTCTCGCATCGCACTTCCGTAATTATTTGTTTTGCCATAACAGTAAACTATTATATTAATATTTTAATTGAATAATTGGTATACCGCAAAAATAATATAATTGTCACAAGAATTCTACCATTTAATATAAAATATAACACTTACATTAAAAATACTTTTAATAATTCATGGAATAACCTTGTCTTTTATAATCAAATCCTTACTATATTACAAAATTTTACTCAATTATTTGAAAACAAAACTGAATTTAGTATACTTTACTAAAGTATTAAATGCACATATTAATTAAGTACCTGTACTATATATGATAATATTCTCAGTGTTATACAAATTATAAAATGCATATTACTTAAAATATAAAATTATTTTTTAGGTCAAATATTCCCCTAATAAATAAATCTTTATTTATACTTAATTTACATCATCATCATTATTAATAATTTTATTTAAATATGAAAAAAAACAAGAAAAATATTTATAAAATATTTCAAATTCTACTACATTTCAATTGAATTTCATATAACATTATCCTGTGAAGTTAATAAAATTTTAATATAATATGTTAAAATTTTCATTATACAAAATATTCATGTAATTCTTGTAATGTTTTCAAACTAATTAAATGCATATATGTACATATACGTGTGTATAATATACGTGTATCTAAAAACATAACATAATGTTATATAAAATCTGAAACATTTATAAAAGTATTCATTAAGAGTTTTTGACAATTTTCTGAGTATATCATACATTTAAACGCACTTGTGTGTATGTATTGCATATTAATGTGCATAAAGTATACAAACTTGTGTATGTAATGTATGCATATAAGAAATTCAGGTGTATAAAACAATTTTCATTTTGTTATGATTGTATAAATTTTATATGATTTTTTTTTAATTGAAAAATTTCAAATTGAGGAAAAATTAGAATAAAAATTGAGAAAATGTTGTTCTCGTATAAAGAAAATTTTCTCATTTCATACTATTTTATAATATAAATACGTTATGTATGTATGTACATGATAATATACCTTTAAATTTCCAATAAATTAATTACTTTATTATTCATTCAAAGAAAACATTTGATCAAGAATCTATAATATTAATAATATACACTTATGTAAATATTTTTGTAAAATGTTATGTATTTACTCATCTACATAATGTAAGTATGTAAGTGACTTGAGAAATGAATTTGAATATAAAGTATTTAACTATAAATGTGTATGAAGGAAGTTGAGAACATGATTGAGTGAGAAATTTTCGTTAGAACAAAAAAATTTCATTATTTCTTCAAATCTTACAAAAAATAACAGAATTTTGAATTGATAACATGAACATATTTGAAGCGTTCCTTGTGTGCTAATGTTGATATCTTCACGCAAGAGAGTATTTGTATCCTCTCTCAAAAATACGTTTAAGTTTTTGTTAAAACGAATATTCGAAAATTTTTCCGAATTGCAATTGCGCTCGCAACAAGCATTTGAGAGACAATAACAGGCAGAACTTCATTTCTCCAGTTGTTAATGAAACTACAAATTTAAAATATGAGAAGGATTTTATATTTATTTCCCGTATAATAATAAAAGACCATTTGATAAAGAATAAATATGTGCGGCCACATCTCTCAACTATTCTTTTATTGAAAATGTGCAGTTGGCAGTATTGTAAAATTGTGAAAAGTATTAAATTGACAGTGTTATACACCATTAAATAATATCACAATAATATTATTAAATTTCATTAGAAAAGTCCTCTCTTGCTTGAACGCTGAGATTCTCGATTACCAATTTGCAGATTACGTACTTTCTATAAAACGGATAAATGTTCTGCATATAACAGTTACTTATATGTATACTGTTCTGCATATAACAGTTTCATATATCACTATAAATACTATCGCCAAATCTATTTTAGTATAAAATATTTTTTTGAATGCGATTCCGGACTTTAATAATAACATTGCTGACGATGGAATTTATACATTTATTTTTATTACAATATTTACATTTCGTATGCAAATAATATTTACATATATAGATTATAATAATATTGTCAATGTTGATGATGCGAATACTTATATACACATTTTATAATATAAAAATTTAATCAAATATTTACCTTTTTGGGGGGGCGGTAGAAATATGAAACAAGAATATATAAAATGTATTTTGTTCTTCTTTATAATATTATCAGTTATTTTTGTATAACATTCATATAAACTTATTAAATACTCGTATGTATAATAATATACAGTTAAAATGATCACAGTTTATTTAATAAAGTTCAATGTGTATATTGGCGTATTTATCCAGTATGTAATAGCGCGTCCTGAGGTCGATAACCTTAATTTTAGACCAAAATTAATTTTATAAATAAAACTATTTAGTTTCATTTATTTCTAATAAATTAACAATGATTTTGTTGGAATATATAGTGTTATGGAAATTACTTCT